AAGAGGATTTACGTATTTATTACTTTCAAGAAATGCAGTCAAGTTATTCACAAGTAACGTGTACAATCACAGCTTCATCTAGGTCATCTAGAGTGTCGTGACACATGTTCATTTACACAACCTAATGTAGAAACTTTATGTGAGTTTGACCCACTACTCAATGAATACAAAGTCAAGTTATTATCAAAGAATGGGGTGTGTTATCTGAATTACGGGTGTGATGAAAATGATGCCTTAAAAATTGTTTTCCCAATGTCGAATGGATCAGAAAATTCTAAAAACATACTTCATGGTCCAGAGGAATTATGGGGTTATGACGACACCAAACAACTAATCATTGCTGTTATTACATCTTGTCATGGACAGCCAAGCGCTAAATACACACGGAGAAGAAATGGTGCCATTACTGTTGAAGATTCTGATCGTTGCTGCATTTTTTGTGAGTGAACCTGGTATGTATAGCGTTGTCGTAACGTTTGATGACTTGTTTGAAGAATCTGAGGCCGTTAGCATTGTTAAAGTATGCTTAGGAAAATTCAGCAAATCCAAATGAAGGAATACTTGTGAAGTAAATCAAAAGTTCACAGAAAATAATAGACAAGTTTTAAAATGTGGAAATAGGCCTACTACAGAAGACATGGATAGCCAAATTTCAGAATCTGAAAAACTGTACCTGTAGCAGCACTAGATGTACCAAAGATCAACAGAAAAGATTTGAAATTTGAGAAAAAAAATGAAATAGGCAGAAGATCATTTGGAGTTGTATATAAAGGGAGTTGGATCGGCACAGATGTTGCTATAAAAGAAGTCAAAGTCAGAAATGCCAGGCTTCTGCAAGCAACTGTTAGAAGAGAGATCCAGGTGTATAGTAGAATCAGACATCCGAACATCGTTCAACTGATGACAGTTGCTACAGAGAAAACTAGTATATATATTGTGTCGGAATATATAGATGGAGCAAATATGGAGGAAATTTTGTTCCGTGAGATTGATTTCAATAGCCCAGAAATCGTATATTGCTAAGCAACTTTGTCAAGTCGTAACTTACATGCACAATGCTAATATAATTCACCAAGACATCAAACCTGCCAAATGTACTAATATCTCGTGATACATTGAACACCAAGCTATGTGATATGGGAATTAGCAAAGTTAAACAAGTGCACAAAACTCTTCAACTAGGCACAAGTATGGGGCTTCCTGGTACTCCTTATATGGCACCAGAGTGCCTGCTTCATCAAAGCAATGGTACAACAATGTCAGATATGTGGTCTGTTGGAATAACCTTACTAAAACTGTACACTGGAAAGGATGCTTGGGCTTTTGATGATGATTCGCAAATATCTGAAGGTGACAATGCTGGAAATAGCGATGCAATAGCTGCTACAAAAGAACCACTGTATTCAATGTTGCAAGGAGGAAACAAACCAAGTTGCCTAAAGCTCTTGTCATCACATGCATATATCCATGATATGTTGGCTGTGAATATTGATAATTGTTTGGACTATGACCCCAAAAAAAGACCAACAGCCTTATTGATTTTACAGAGCATTATTTAAGCATGTCCCACTTTACATAATATTAATATCACTTCTGATTCACTAGATATTTTACTTTAAATTAATCAACATGAAGCCTATGGAGAACCGAGTTGGCAGTCAGTTTATTATGCAAATTAGTTGGGGGCAGCCATAGTGTGACATAATATCCTCCGATATGAAAATATCAAAAATGATTTCCATTGTAACTTCATAACTATTTAAGAAACTTCTAAGTAACTTTAAAAACTATTAGTCCTAGGTAAATTTTATCAAGTTATTGTTTGCCATTCAAAACTTGAATATCCAGAAAACTTCTATGCTGATATTCTTCTAACTTGGTATTGTTGGTGTACAAGAGCGTTTCAGTGTTTAACTAATTGTGAATGCAATATACTTTAACGTGTTATGACTTGTTTTAAAATAAACCTTTAAGTAGTTTTTGTACTGCTGCAGAAACATCCAATTTGTTTGTTGCTTTGTTTATAGCAATGCTATTTTGCGGTTTGTATACCTTATACCACAGTGAATTCTCTAACGAGTTTGTGTTTATAATTTTTAGATCTATGAATAGTTTTCACAGACATTAATAATGTTGCATAAACAAGCCAGGAAATCAGGCTCATTTTCATGCTGTAATTGGTATGTACTATTATGAACTGCAGCATTGGATTGGGTGTACATTGCTTCATCAGATGCTGCATTTGTTGCTAGGAAAAACATTTCACCAGAAAATATATTCTGGGGTGTATTATATAGTTCATCATATTGCTGTACAACTTTAAAATGCTCCATGTATTCTCAAACTATTATGCCGATAGTATCCATAGTATATTGGTTGTAAGGAGGCAACAGTAGAATTCTCTGTTCCAAAGTCTCATCTAATGACCCTTGGAACAAATCCAGTCTGCCTCACGCAGTCAAGATAATAGTGTGCAACAATTGCCAGACTGTTGTTACTTAGAGATACTTCCAACCATAATATTCTTCTGCTGAAACCATTAATCACTCCATGGACTGCAAACCCAAAAGGTTTTAATTTATCATATCCGTCTATGTGCCAGATAAAATTTGGTCCGGGTGCATCATCCTGCGCTTTTTACGCCGCTCTACACCATCTGGGTCAACAAGACATAACAACTCAAGTACAATGTCTTTGTTAACAGCCAATCCATATTTCAACTTCAACCGTTTCCACATTGACCTGTAGCCAATACACTTTCCACTTCCATTTAGCTATTGTTGTATAGCTTCTAATACATTATCTAAATGCAATAAATTAACTGTCTGTCTTCTTCTCAAGCCAAACTTTCTCAGAAGACGTTTTAAGTGTCTCAAGCTAATAACAATACCTTATGAAAAAAGAAAATATTGAAAAATAAAAATCATTAACTGGATTTATATCATAATACCATTATAAAAATGATTACACATGTCATTACTTCATAAAATGATATTAGATTGTTTCATTTCTACACAGAATGAATTGATCAATATGAAGAACATTAACTTATACAGTAACTATAATTAATGAATTGTATATACCATGACAAAGTGCAAGAGAAGCTAATATTTCTTGGTTAGAATAGCAAGCATTAAAGTAATCTGTTATCAAATTCTCTCTGGCACCGTTGTGATGTGCACCATTAGATGCAGGTGTGTACTCTGGTAGCATACTTTCAACATGGCCAATAATGAGTACAAACATACATATCATGCAGAGTTGTACCCACATCTGTAATATACAAGAGAGAACTACAAGGGTTAAAGCAGATGTACCTTTTCTAATGTGTACACTCCTTGGAATTAATAAACTTCTGTTATTTTTCATTGAAAATTTTTT